AGGTGCTACAGGCACAGAAGTTCTTATTAGTGCATAATTCGTGTGAGTTGTTCAGGCATTAAAAAGGGAAAGCAACAAGAAAAAGAAACTTACAAAACTCAACAGTTTCTTGCTCCATTTCTAAACAATATCTTTTAAAGAGCAGAAAAGAAAATGAGGAACAGTTTAGTACATATAAGAATATACTATGGATTAATAGTAAATACCTATCAAAAATGACACAAGAACTTTAAAAAAACTAAAAGGTAAGGCAGATTATAGAGTCAGCCTGATAATTAGATTGAAGACATTTTATACAGTGTGTTTAAAAATGGAGAAGGATAATTAACACAAACCTAACCGAAAATCAGAAGTGATACTGTCATTAAAATTAAAAGTATTACAAATGTTTCTTAGGTCTAAAAGGCTAAAACATATAAGGTACATTCATAGTTGTCATGATGAACCTCTTAAAATGTTTCTTGCCAGAGCAAGAGGATGGCAAGCCACAAATGCTGGGAGGTTAATCAGTCTCTTCAGTGTTTGCATACTTGATGAGAATCATGTGATCATGTCTAATGACAGACTTTGGTATTAGCAGTATTAGGCGTTTCGATTCTGTGACTAGAGTTGGTTGTAATATTCTCTATTATATTATTTCTAACTGGCTTCAGACTCTATTGGCTACCTACCAGCTGGTGGATTTTCTAGGTATTCCTTGATCTGGTCTTTGTCTGGTGTCACTTGCGCAAAAACATTATCGGCACCCAGGGTTGACAGCTGCTGCTTCTGCATCAGCAGATATGCTGACAACTCTGTACCAGGTATGCGCCTCATGGACCCTAAGGACATGTTTCATAACAAATATGCCTCATTATACATTGTACCATCAGGAAGGGTTAGAACTGAATAGCCTAAATCGGGTGTTAATTTATACTGATGACAAATTTTCCTATGTGAAAATAATAAATGCAAATGTATCACAACCTCTGAAGTTACATTCTGAACAGTCATTATATTTTGGATATTAAATATTGTTAGAGTCATGGACTCAGGACAAATATAATAATAGACTAAACCTCCTGGTTCTACTACCAGAGATGTACAGTATTCAGTTTCATTAATTTTTCCCTCTTTATATTTATTATATGTTACCTGTAATACTTCTTTCTTGGACATATATAACCACCTGAGTCTTGGTTTCAGAGATGGGTTTCAGGCCTTCAATGGTAAGAGTCAGGTTTGGCTTGTTGCCCAGTACCATATTCAGGCTCGTCATCAGCTGTGCCTGTTGACTCCTGCACAGACAGTACACATACATACAGATATTCCAACAGTGAGCAACATTGCTGCCATCTGAAAGGGAGCAATATCGCTGGATTTCTGTCATGCTTTAACTAAATACTAAAGCATGGGACACAAATCTCATGCATGATTCGAATATGCAGTAACGCAGACCTGATCTCGTCTTCTTTCTTGTTGAAGGTGAGTGCCACTAGCCCATGAGCATTGTCTGATGAAGGCTTGCAGCTGTATCCAATAGCCTTGAATCTGCACAATGGATTCTGTGGTGTCAACTCTATTGGAGGAGCTGTCTGTGAGTAGTAAGCTGGAAAGTGTATAAAATGTAGTGTAATGAAATGAAACTGA